TTGTCTGAATGCCATGGCCTATCTATGTGTATTTAATCTGCTATGATTTTTTAATGTGCATGAAGCTACGAATTCCTGATCCACCAACTTCTTATCACTAACAAATTTCGGCTACCAATATATTATACAGTATAAAGCTTTTTCTTACCGATAGATGTAGAAACATAATACCAAAAAGCATACATTAAACCCATTCACTGGTCGTATACAAAACAAAGATCTGACGCCCGGTGGAAGCATAAATACACTTACTATCATAAACACCGCCGTACCAACTCGGATGATTGAGAGCGACCACTGATTTATCAACTTAGCATTTGATATTATATTATAGAGAATTTTATAAGTTTTCNTATCAACTTAGCATTTGATATTATATTATAGAGAATTTTATAAGTTTTCAGAATATGTAATTAAGTTGAAAAAGTTAATTTTTTGTGAATAAAGTTGGCAGGTTAAGGGTCAGATATATAAAAATATATATACAAAATGATAGGTAAGGACATAATGTATCTATAAAAAAAAATTATATTGAATTTTGAAAAAGTTATGGCAGTATTAAGTAAAAAAAATTGAAAAAGTTAGCGATTTTTAAATTTGTAATTTTTTTTGAGATTTCCCCCATTTACGGGGAATAAGAGAAATTTTTTCAATTTTTGAAGGTAATGTCTTCAACTAGATACGATTTGTGATCTTTTGACGTATTGTTGAAAGAAAAAAAAACACATCATGGGAAAATTGAAACCTTCTCAGCATCGCATCGTAGCCAAAAAATTCATTTATTACCATAAATTTTAGCTTAACTTTTGAAATTGACATTAAAAAAAAACCCAGTACAGGGGGGTCGCGGCACAGTGGTGACGTCCCATTGTTGGATCAAGTATGATGATATCTGACAGTGATTAAAATCACTATAAAAAAAAAAAACATTTCATGCAAATCTTTAGATAGCAGGGGCGAACGCAGGAAAAAATTTCGGGAGGGGTTTTTGAAAAAAAATGCAAAATGTTCATAAATATAATACATTCAAAAATATTTAATTATTGAAATTTTTTCTATAAAATTATATCTAAGCGACGTGGCACTTTAGCCATTGTATTAATTATCTCTTCGCACGTCACCTCCACGTCTCTGTAAATGTTTAAGAGCATCAAACCATTTAATCGATCTTCACCCGTCTTGTTTCTCAAATATGTTTTTAATCTTCGAAGACAAGAAAAAGACCGTTCACTGGTAGCCGCTGAAACCGGTAAAGTCGCACCAACTTGTAAAAATCTATGTATTGTTGGATATAATGTAGAATCGCAATGGTTTAGAGCATTTATAAATGTTTTCGGCCATTTATCTTTTGAAATTTTTNTTATCTTTTGTAATTTTTAAACTATGCCTAAAACAACAACGCATTTTATGTTTTAATAAAGATTTAAAAAAATACTTTTATTCATAATAGATAAATTGTTACCTGCGCCACATGGTCAGCTCAGCTATCAAATTATCAGTAGATCCCTTGATATCATTTGGCTATTCTTTTACAAAAATACTTACTGTTCCACTGATTTCTTTTGTATTCAGCTCAGAACACTTAGTAGGAAGAATATTTTGAATTTTTGAAAGTAGTTCCCGGTGTTCAAAAAATCTTATTTTTAACTGCATTGATAAGTGGTTCAAAAAAAGAAGAAATATGGACTGACGGAAATATGCCCCTCAAAACCTCCTTCGTAATTGTCTCGATTCTTCTGTACTCCAACATTACGCGGAGGTACTAAATTAATATCCATTTTGTCCGCCATTTCTTTTGCTTCTAAAAACAAATCTTTGAATTTCAATTCCGAATCACAACGCATCGCATTGATTTCATCATACACGAGGTTTGCATAATCAATGCAATTGCTAAGATCACAATCTTCCTTTTGTAAAAAAACACTGAGATTTTTCATAATGCTGAATATTGGCTTCACTACTTTTAAAGCTATAATAAATTGTGGTGTTTGTATCGATGTAAGCAGGGCATGAGGTTTAACTCCGTCAGTTATCAAATTATTTTCATCCATGTACTCTAACGATGAGCAGATATGTTCATATACATCGTTAAACAAACTGAGTGAATCCAAATGTTCAACCCATCGCGTTTCGCAGAATTTAAGAAGACACGTTTGTTTTGCATTTGGGCAAGACTGTTGAATTTTGTTTTTCAAAACTAGACCTGCCTTATTAGATAGGCGAAATAAATTTACAACCTCTTTAATTGTACCAATGCAATTTCGGATGGCTGGTATTTTACACGCGTGTGTAATGGCTAAATTCAAATTATGATTAGCGCAGTGGACGTAAATAGCTTCTGGATATAATTCTCGAACTTTGGCAGCACATCCGTTGAATTTTCCGCTCATTGCTCGCGCTCCATCATAGCCTAAAAATTTTTTAAAATTTAAAATATAACCTTATACATATAAAAGTATAACTTAATAATTATTTACACATACCTTGTCCTCTCATATTAACCAGGTTTATGCCAATGTACTTCATCTTGGTCAACAGCGTATTCGCAAGCCCCTTTCCGGTAACGTCCTCAACAGGAATAAAACACAAAAAGTCTTCTCGAATAATATAATCATCGTCAATTTTATCAACAAATCGAGCGCATATTGAAAACTGTTCAATGCCACTCACATCTGTACTTTCGTCAGCAATGACAGAAAAATATCCAGATTTGTTTACACGTTGCACAATATTTGTCGTTATTTGTTTCCCTGCTGCATCAATTATTTCATTTTGAATGCGATAACTTAAATACATTGAATTTGCACCCGCAGTATTCAAATGATTGGCCAAAACCTGATCACCGCTGTTTAGGGAATAACGAAGTAACGCTCTGAAATTTCCGTCGTTTTCTTGTGGCATTTTTAATGATAAAGGTCCTTGATCTCGATGACCCCTTATTGCTAATCCCTGCCTACCACACAGCAAAACTGCTCGGATGATCGGAATTAACTTTTTCCTGTTTTCGAGTTGCTGTATTTTCCGTCCTTTGTCAATTTCGCTGATCACATCACATTTCCGGTTTTCGTAAATCATTTTAAAATTTTGTCCATCCTCCATGGCATCAAGGTGATATTTTTTTGTTTGGTGTTCTTTGAATTTTTCGAGCGCTTTCTTCCATTCTTGAAACGCAGTCTGCACTAACTTATTTGAGCTCTGATGACTCCCTTTTCCAACAAAATTTGATCCAAATGAGACACAATAACGGCAGTAAGCTCCGTCTTCTGCAGCAGAATACACCAACCATGCAAATAAGCGCAACCAAGAATGCTGAAATTTTAAATTTCGTTTGCCACAAGTCGGAAACTTGAAGTTGATATCAAGTACCCAATAATGTTCAATTACTTCATATTTTTCAAAATCGTTCAACTGCTTATGAGAAAAATTTGCGATATCATTTGGAAAAATCTATAAAATAATTATAAGTAAATTATATTTACTAGTTTATTTCATGTTAAAGGACCATGAAAGAAATAAAAAACTGTAGCACAGGAGGTCGGTGTAAAGTCTTGTCTGGGTATAGAAGTGATGGGACATAATTATAGCTGACAGTGATTAAAAACCATTATCATAAAGAACGCTTCGATACAAATCAGGAGAAAGTGTTAAATTTTTTAGCTTAAATTAGATTATTGCAAAAANAAAATATTTGTTCCTTAATTTTATTTATAATTAAAACTTACATGAAAATATTTAAATACAAATGTAACCTTGATTAATATTGGAGCGCGTCGCTGATGGTTCAGCGGTGGAACGTACACTGATTAGACTTAATACTAAAAGACACATTGCTGACCAGGCAAACAAAGATAAAAGACCATACTATAGTGTGACTCGCGCTAACAATAAGTAAATTATATTTACTAGTTTATTTCATGTTAAAGGACCATGAAAGAAATAAAAAACTGTAGCACAGGGGGTCGGTGTAAAGTCTTGTCTGGGTATAGAAGTGATGGGACATAATTATAGCTGACAGTGATTAAAAACCATTATCATAAAGAACGCTTCGATACAAATCAGGAGAAAGTGTTAAATTTTTTAGCTTAAATTAGATTATTGCAAAAAGGAACAANAGCTTAAATTAGATTATTGCAAAAAGTAACATAAACTCGTATTTCTACAAGAATATCCTGATTAAAAGTATGATTTTTTAAGTATAAAAATAATGACAACTTATTTAGTCAGCAGCAGTGCTCGAAATGGGAAAAAAAAGTAGGGGAGCTCAGTCCCCCTGCGCACCCCCCCAATTCGAGCACTGGTCAGCAGTTAAAACAAAAATTTATATCAGAAAAAAATTAAAATATTTTGTAGGGGAAAGAGAGTCCCCACCTCAAACACCCCATATTTATAATTTATTTATGTATAAAATTTGTTCTTATTTATAAATAATTAACAAACAAGAGTCAGTAGTTATTTTAAAATAATGTAAAAAGTTCAAACATTCGTAGAGGGTGCTCCCCTTAACAACCTGAATTTTAAACTGATTATTGATTTGTTTATAATTAAAAAAGTAATTCTGTAACAATGAAGTTTTACATTTAAAATACATTTAAAATTCGTTATTTTTGAAAAAAACTAGTTCTTTATTTTTCAACTTTAAAATTCATTAAGCTTAAAACATAAGTCCAAGTCCCTCAGTTTTTTTACAAAAGAAAGTATATTACATAAACTTTAATTTAAGCTATTTATNTCATGCATTTTTTAAAAAGTTATAGCAACATAATGTTAAAAAATGTAAAATATAATATCAAGAATTTTTTCACAAAAATAGCATATTTTTGCATACGGTAGTCATTTTCACCATGAAGACAAGTCCAGAGGTCAAATTTTTTTTTTTCAAATTAAAGTATATTACATTAGCTTTAATTTAAGGTATATATAAAATTGTCAGTCTTTCCGGAACATTTTCAAAAGTTAAGTTGAAAAAGTTAATTTTTGTGAAAAAAGTTACCATTTTGAAACCCCATCCTGTAGGCTGTTATNAAAAAAGTTACCATTTTGAAACCCCATCCTTTGGGCTGTTAAAGGGTCAAATGTTCACAAAAATATATAAAATGATAGGTAATTATCTAAGGTATCTATAAATAAAAAATTATATTGATTCGGTCATTTTTAAAAAAGTTATGGCAATTTTAAGTAAAAAAAATTTAAAAAATATCGAAAATTAGCGATTTTTAAATTTGTAATTTTTTGGGGGATTTCCTGGGGGAAAACTCCCATAACTTTTTCAAATATTAACATATCAAAATAAGATTTTTTTATATTGAAACCTTAGATATTTCCCTTTCATTTGATATCATTTTTTTGAAAATCTAACACTTAACCTGCTCATGGGGGGGGATTTAAAATAGCAACTTTTTAACAAAAACTAACTTTTTCAACTTAATTTTTGAAAATGTTCCGGAAATACTGCGTCCTTTAAACATATATCAAATTATAGCTTATTTCATGTACTATAAAATAAAAAAAAAAAAATTTGTCCCGACATCTTTANTAAAGCTTTTTTTATGTACTATAAAATGAAAAAAAAAAATTTGTCCCGACACCTTATCTTCTATGTGCAAATGGCAGTCGAAATTATAAAAAAAATGTAATATTTGCGATAAAAATCACCTTTTATAACGATGTTTTTTGTACTTAAAACTGCCATAACTTTTTCAAATATTAACTAATCAAAATAATATTTCTTTATATTGAAACCTTAGGTAATTTCCTTTCATTTGATATCATTTTTTTTTGAAAATCTAACACATATTCTGCTCGCAGGGTAATTTAAAATAGCAAACTTTTTTACAAAAACTAACTTTTTCAACTTAATTTTTGAAAATGTTCCGGAAATACTGCGTCCTTTAAACATATATCAAATTAAAGCTTATTTTATGTACTATAAAATGAAAAAAAAAAATTTGTCCCGACACCTTATCTTCTATGTGCAAATGGCTGTCGAAATTATAAAAAAAATGTAATATTTGCGATAAAAATCACCTTTTATAACGATGTTTTTTGTACTTAAAACTGCCATAACTTTTTCAAATATTAACTAATCAAAATAATATTTCTTTATATTGAAACCTTAGGTAATTTTCTTTCATTTGATATCATTTTTTTTTGAAAATCTAACACTTATTCTGCTCACAGGGGGGATTTAAAATAGCAACTTTTTTACAAAAACTAACTTTTTCAACTTAATTTTTGAAAATGTTCCGGAAATACTGCGTCCTTTAAACATATATCAAATTAAAGCTTATTTTATGTACTATAAAATGAAAAAAAAAAATTTGTCCCGACGACCTATCTTCTATGCGCAAATGGCTACCATATTCAAAAATATGCTATTTTAACAAATTTTTTTTTTAGCTTCGATGCGAAGCTGAGAAGGTATTAATTTTACTATGATGTGTTTTTAGCTTCGATGCGAAGCTGAGAAGGTATTAATTTTACTATGATGTGTTTTTTTTTATACGCTCAATCTCAGTTCTCACTGAACCGATTTTGATGAAAAAAATGTCAAAAGATCACAAATCGTATCTAGTTGAAGACATTACCCTCAAAAATTGAAAAAAAATCCCTCGTTCCTCGTAAACG